AACAACCATGGCCAACGTCAACCTCCCACTCAGCCTGACGACTGCATTCCTGGACTTCGAGATAGCTGTCGACAACGCCCTGCTGATGTACCCTGCGACACGACCCGCTTCACTGATTACGTCGTCACTCACTGGATAGAAGGAAACACGCATGTGGAACCATCACGACGCAGTTTCCTGTAGACCACGATCTACTTATATATACTAATAAGCGTAAAGCTGAGGCCTATTGATATTCCTATTTAGAATAAAGTATTAAGTGTGAATGTATTAAATATGTATTTACTGGATGAACATCATGTTATGAATGTAGACAACGTTTCATTATGTAACTGATTGTACTATGTCTTTGTAGGGTTTTAATTGTATTCTGTACAACATAGAATAAATGGAATAAGTCAGCACAGTACACGTCGTTGTTCTTTAAAAACTTGACAACTTTACACATTTATGATAGATATACCGCCCTTCGTAACAAAACTTACTATCCAGGAATCTACACGTGTACTGTACGTTAATGCGGGCGTTACCATAATTAGACTTCTGTAAATTTCGTAATAAGCTAATTATGGAATCTAATGATATCAACTGTAGAGTTTTTCCCTATAAACTATACATAAAAGAAATTCATAATGATTTTCATAATTTTTATTTGTCTTCACCACTTACGTATTCGTCAATTTCAAAGTAAAAGGCACAAAATATCGCAATAATTCAGTTTGCCGACATAAAAAGCTACGAACAACTGATTAAAATAAGCGACAGTTTCAGTAGTGAGTAATTAAGTTATGCTACACGATGTTATGAAATCGTTAAACAGTACAACTTATTTGAGTTATACTGAACTGTAAATTTAAAATTATGAATAATATTGAAACCTTACAATTTTGACTGATAATTTACACTTCAAATATGATGAGACAATCATTCAGACTCTCCCCAGACATATCTATGGTTGATAACCTTTAAACATATTTCGACATTTTGTTAATGTTAGTTTCATATCTTTAATTATTTCATATTTGATGTTAGTTGCCTTTGTTACCATCTATAAAGATCCGAAGAAAAAATGAGAAAGAAATTGAGAATAAAAGAAGTGAGTACAGGCCTGTTTAATTTGACCAGTATGTCTCACCTGTACAAAGAGCTAGCTAAACAACAGACTACAGATGTTTAAGTGGAAGCAGTTTCCTTCATTGAAGCCCTGACATGTTTTAGTATGTTGAATGGTTACACTAGACCGCTAAGAATGTGTTTTCTCGTGTTTTAGTAACGCTTGTTTGTAAGACTATATGAAAACAAATAGAATCTTCCCGAATTGCCTGCACTAGTAAACAAACTCTTAGGTATATAGATGTATGTAAAGTCTACATTCCTGACGTAACAAGAATATTTATAGTGATTGAGGTTCTATATATAGTTCTGTAGACATTGTTACTAGTCTGTACAGATCTACAGGCAATGACTATCTTCTTGTTGTTGTCGAACTTTTTGCAATGACGACAATGGCCTGGGTTGGGGATAGGGGCGACGGGTCTTGATTTTTCAGTAATAGCATAAACAATGTGCTCACGTTGATTCTTTCAAGGTACTTCCAAGATTATTGTCATGGCAACAGAAGAAGGATTTGAAAGATTTACCTATTTAGCTCTATTCCGCTATCTAGCCCCGCTCGTCCGCTCCTACATCGTCAGTTTCCGAACTCCATGTAGATGGCAGAAATATGTTTCTCCTTTATTTATAAACCAAAGTAAATTTCCTCCTCGAAAAAGAACACCAGGACGCAAAACAGGCCTACATATCACAATTCTGTTACAGGTCTGTATGGTCTTATAACCGTAAATTGATTTAATTTCTACAATTTTTCGGTCGTGAGAAGATTCTTTTGTCTATTTATCCAGGCAGGTTCCATACCAGGGTCCCTTAGGAAGCCGGACCCGAAAATTTAATCCCACGTCCCTTCAGCTGAGATGCTAGAAATACACTTTGTTACATGGAATTACATGAATCATGATTTTACACACATGGTTCCTCATGGGTAGTTTACCTAACAGTAGAACAAACAATCAGTTATTTCAATTATTTATTACATGCCAATACTATCTGGTATAACAGTTTGATAACTGTAAACGTAAACAATATAGAAAGTCTCCTGAGATCCCACGAACATGTTAACATGGTATACAAATTAACAACACATACATGTTGAACACGGTAACATTGAATGTAACACACACACAAACATACACACACACACACACACACACAAACATATATATATATGTGTGTGTATATATACAATGTATACATATTTCTTAACGATGAAAACGAAAATACAGTATACATTGGATGTAATACATATTGTGTGAAAAACACATGACTTATATGTGTTTAACGCAGATTCCGATATTGAAAACTACTTTTCCTATTTAACGTAATAAACAGTTGTATTAAATCTTATAAACGATAATGTCGAACAATGATTTTAATAACAGATACACATTGGAACACTCTCACAACGAAACCCTATATATTCGTCACACGTACATCAATCAATCTGATTGAAACTTTGTCAGTTAAACCAGGATTTCATTTCATTCCAAGTTCACATCTCCTTTGCACTACACCTCGCATTTGATGAGCATTCCTTAAGGTAAGAATTCGAGACGAAAGTTCTGGTTCTATTGACACTCCGCCAGATTGTCATATCACATGTTAAAACAATTTTGTACTTGTAACATTATTATACATGTAACCCATGCTATAGCGGTGGCCTATGTTATAGCGGTAACCCATGCTATAGTTGTGACCCATGCTATAGCGATAATCATGCTATAGCGGTAACCATGCTAAAGTTGTGACCATGCTATAGCGGTTACCCATGCTATAACGGTAACCATGATATAGCGGTACCCCATGCTATAGCGGTAACCCATTCTATAGCGGTAACCCATGCTATAGCGGTAACCCATGCTATGGCGGTAACCGATTCTGGCCACAGTGTTAATTAGAGTCAAATTATCCCCATGTCATAATACTGATTAAATGTTTGTGATTAGGGGGTGGGGGTGGAACTACATAGGGGTTCCTCAAAACGGAGCATGTTATGTGTTCACTGAAAAAATAATATTTGCTTTTGTTTATTCGTATGTAAGGAATACTTTTTGTTACAACCGAATTACAAACAAAACTGAAATATATCTATAACAACAAATAATAAGCATTGATTGATTGATTGATTGATTGATACGTCGAGCTGTTTCTGAAATTAATAAGTAGCGTTATGATTTTACTTGTACAAGTAAGTGAACTGTCTAGCTCTTTATCGCCAGTCTATACAGACATCTTACTATCAGGTCCAGATCTTGTCCGGAATCTGTCTGTTGTATTCCATTAAAAAAATAAGAAACACAACTCTCACTGGAAAGCATAGTCACACGAATGATACGTCCAATACTATGTTATTGTTGGTCAGAACAGTTCATTGTTTACCGAAACTCCGAGTAAGGTATTAGACAAAGCATATTATATCTAGAAAGAAGTTGTGGTTACACTGTGGTTCATTATTTACCTTACAGATTTAAAACAACGAGTACAAAACTATAAACAGTTTTAACCAACACATTTCTATTTTCTTTCTAATCTGGCATTAACTGTAACAATACAATATACTATTCCCTTTAAGTTGCTTTGACGTAATATGAGTTTAAACGCACTTTATGAATACTCGTGTTCATTAAAGAGGAAACAAAAATATTTAATATGAGGATTTCATATATACCAAATTCCTTGTTAAAGTGTTTAAGTATGAAATCTGATGTGAACAGAATCGTTGCTGAAACGGTTTTGTTCTGTATGACCCTGCGTTCACTACTAAGAAATTCTGATACTTTTCTGTAATTAAATGTGAAGCTGTTTTGTATCATTTCAATTAACAGCAGTTTCAAATTTCCGTTGATTACATTTATCAAGGCATTAAGATGATAACATGAAAACAAGGTTTTGAAAAGAAAAATAATAACAGTATGCATTTTCCTTCAAGACATCGCGGAAGTCTAATTTTCAATGGTGACTAAACATATTTAGTTTCGTAAGGCATTAAATACTTAAACAAAAGAGTGCTGTATAAATGCAATGAAACTTTCCAAGTGAAAAAATAGCACCTTTTATGTTCAATCTGAAGTATATTGTAAACAATAATTGATTATTCGACGCCTGAAACGTAGTCCATATCCAAATGAGGAAGTTCGGAGACATCACTATTTACTCGTACTATCACTTCTAGAGCGGGGTTAATAGAGTGACCAACTATACAATATACAGATCTTAAGTTGCTTATCCTTTCAGGATCAGGATCGGTCTTCTTGATCAACAATTTAAGGAATCTTACTGACCCAATTATAGCCCCGAAACAGATAGGTGGCGAGAAAGGACCATGTACACTGTTATAGATGGTGTCTGATTACCGATAACGTTATCACGTTTTTACAAGCTAGATTAAGCCTACAACAAGTCGCCACAAGTAATGCTGCTATACACTGAACATGTTCTAACGATTTCCTCGCACAGAAAGTACATCAAATTAATAACGGGATAGTCTTAAGGGTTACACGAAGTTTAAAGCTGCCATACAAATATAACTGGTTCTTTTACATATGATCGTCGAATTGTGCGAAAAACCCTTACAAGCGGTCTGACGTGAAACAAATATGTATACTGATGATGCAAGTAAATAAAACTAGGAGTAAAATTTGTATATTAGCAATATTTGATTGATTTGATTGTGGTTACATGTCGTCTATCAGACCTTACGATTATTTTAATAGGTTATCTCCCCTTCGTCTGAAAAATAAGATCAGTTTTGCAATATTCAGTCTTAAATATTTCTTTATGATTCTGAAGAAAGGGATCAATCTAGTACAACCGATCGTTACTTAACGAACGTATCTTTGATGTAGTGTGTAATTTATTATCCTAGTTTTGAAGGATGGTGTTACGTCCTAGAAACAGTTGCCATGGGAAATACTGATATCATCTACCCTAATGTTACCAGAGGAAGACCCTCTTGTCGCCTCAAACGTTATGCCAAATGTGTGAAACTGATGATCGATGTCAGTCTTAGCTTTTGTCCAGTTGCTACAGTTTGAAAGCTTTGTTGTCCACACTGGTTCCGATAAAACTGGAGCGCCACCAAAGTAGACCTGGGTAAGGAGGGTGAGTGTCCCCGACGACTGGGGACAAATTTGATAGGAAAACCTTACACATCGAGGGATAGGACTGGTCATCACAGGTGATGAAAACTTAGCCTTGTCTCCAGGGTATTTACTGGCACCAGTAAACTCAATGTGGTAACCTGTAATACCAAATCACATATAAATGTATCCGAGCTCGATGATCGTGCACAACAGTTATATCATTATCATACAAGGGGCACCGGATTACTAATATAATACTTGAAATTTGATATGAATGCAAAAGCTTTCTATATAACTCATTGTAATTGTTTTTATGAATGATGAAAAATATGAAAGTTGAAATTGTTTTGTATTATCTTAAACGGGTTCTTTTATGCTGTATTATGGACAGAAAAAAAACTTGGTAGTGTCAAATATAAACCACTTTATGCTTAGATTCGATTACTGAAGAAAAGTAATTTGTCCAATAGACATTAACTATGAATTGTTAACTTAATATGTTCCTATTAATAAAGAATATTGATGGGTACCAAGGGCATGACAATATGCACAGGCATCGCTGGATTATTTTTGCATCTACAGAAACGCAAATGAAAAGGGGAATAACTCCTACATATCTAAATGCAGGAGATGAAAATGATATAAGCATGAATGGATTTAAGGAAATTATTTGAACACTTAAAACGGACTTTAAAGGTACTACATTTTCTAGGGAACTAATAACATGCATAATAAAGGTAGTTTATAGTCAAACCAGACACAATGATATAACCTTGTAACGCAAGAAGTCCCCAAACACCTGAGCTTGTTTTCCCACCCAAAAATAACTCTACATATCCATAGGCTTTTGAAGATAAACGTTGTTTAGACAGACAAAATTTTAGCTTTGCTTAAGTCGTTTTACGTGTTTGTCAGCGCGAGATTATAAACACAGAGATAAGTATGTTACCTGTCCCATTTGATTGTAAACTCCAGTCATAGAGATCATCTATGTCGTTCGTGTACAGGCACATGTTACCGCCTTCAAACGTACACCCGAATTTAACAGCATCTGCAATTAAACCAATCGAGATTTGAAAAGACCTTAAAACAATGCTATAGTGAACAATTAAGTTCATACGACAATATATTAATCATATATGATACCTAAAATCGAACGTATTTATTGATTTATTGTGATGGTGCACCTCCACAATATCTAATTTTATATTTTGTTAAATCATTTGTGTGCCTTTCGTACAATCTTTTATTCTCCATGGAATAATTTCAGTACACATGATGTGCACAGGAATTACAGAAGTCCTCTTAACACACATATGTCACATATACGTCATTTTATTGTTATGAATAATGATCACCTTGACAACGTCCTCCTGAGAACATGACGTCATCTATTGCTACGCCAACATTTTCTTGTACTCCTCTGACGGCGATGATATCTACCGCTGTGATGTCATCATTGATGGTAATGTTTGCAATTGTCCAAGAACTAGAAAAAGACGATATTTCTGACAACTGTCGGCTTACATTTGGTGTCACGTGACCAATGATCTTCAGTTTCATGTCGGACTGGGACCCATGGAAAAATGTTGCCAGTGTCATGCACTTGATGTCATTACTAAAAAATGGCGGTAATTTCAAAATTGCTTCCTGATAAAAAGTGTTGAGTCCATTTGGGTTTTCTGCGAACATGAAATGTCCTGTAAGGAATAAAAAAGACATACACTTGAAAATATTGAAATTGTCTTAAACGTGTATATGATAATAAGTTTTTAATGATATAGATGCCTCAGCTGACCATTGTACACTATAACCACCTAATGACTGCTGACAAGGCAACTGCTGTACATAAACCACGGTGTATTATTGATAAAACTCCGATTACTTTATACTTACCAGCAGAACAGACCTTTTTATTTAAGACCGACCAGAATGTGTCGTCAGTCTCACAGGACGTGGTAGTGACATTTCAACCTCCTTTGTATTCTGTGTGCATGTGTGTGTTTTGTTATTTATTTATTTATTTTAAAGCGATTTCAATTTAACCTAATAACAATTTACCAGAAGAATTTCCCCATGTATGATCAAAAATGGGGTCATGCGATCTCCGGGTCCACATAAAACCGTCATTAGAGTCGTCGATATGACCACAAAGCCCAGGCGTTTCATATGTGCAGTTGTGTTGTCTTCCTGAAAGGATATCGGCATCCGGTCACTTACATACATCATAACTAGCATCAGTGTATCAGCATGAATATGTGTATATATATACAAACTTAGCGTTGTTTAAACAACGATAACAACTACCAAGCAAACATAATTACTCTCAAATACGATATATTGCAATACTGTATACCGCTCGGTTTTCTGCTGTTTTGCTGTTGAATGTACATGTTATTTCAGTAGACCTGAGGGGGAACACCTGACCACAGGTTTGAGGTCGGCTTAGTCGTAAATGTCTCTTCAAAAGACTAGAGAAGGAACGCAGACACAGGTCTGAGGTCAGCTTTATCAACAGACGGAGAGGAAACACCCAAATACAGGTCTGAGGTCAGTTTTATCAATAGACCGGATAGCGAACTCTCGGACACTGGTATGAGGTCAGCTTTATCAATAGACCGAAGAGGAAACACCACACAGGTCTGAGGTCAGTTTTATCAACAGACGGAGAGAAAACACCCAAATACAGGTCTGAGGTCAGTTTTATCATTAGACCGGAGAGGAAACGCCCGGACACAGGTCTGAGGTCAGCTTTATCAACAGACGGAGAGGAAACACCCAAATACAGGAGGCCGGAGAGGAAACGCCCGGACACAGGTCTGAGGTCAGCTTTATCAACAGACGGAGAGGAAACACCCAAATACAGGTCTGAGGTCAGCTTTATCAACAGACCGAAGAGGAAACGCACGGACACAGGTCTGAGGTCAGTTGTCTCAATAGACCGAAGAGGAAACACCACACAGGTCTGAGGTCAGCTTTATCAATAGACCGGAGATGAAACACCACACAGGTCTGAGGTCAGTTTTATCAATAGACCTTAGTGGAAACGCCTGGATACAGGTCTGAGATCAGTTTTATCAATAGACCGGAGAGGAAACGCACGGACACAAGTCTGAGGTCAGTTTTATCAATAGACCGGAGATGAAACACCACACAGGTCTGAGGTTAGTTTTATCAATAGACCGGAGATGAAACACCACACAGGTCTGAGGTCAGTTTTATCAATAGACCTTAGTGGAAACGCCTGGATACAGGTCTGAGATCAGTTTTATCAATAGACCGGAGAGGAAACACCACACAGGTCTGAGGTCAGTTTTATCAATAGACCTTAGTGGAAACGCCTGGATACAGGTCTGAGATCAGTTTTATCAATAGACCGGAGAGGAAACGCACGGACACAGGTCTGAGGTCAGTTTTATCAATAGACCGGAGATGAAACACCACACAGGTCTGAGGTTAGTTTTATCAATAGACCGGAGATGAAACACCACACAGGTCTGAGGTCAGTTTTATCAATAGACCTTAGTGGAAACGCCTGGATACAGGTCTGAGATCAGTTTTATCAATAGACCGGAGAGGAAACGCACGGACACAGGTCTGAGGTCAGTTTTATCAATAGACCGGAGATGAAACACCACACAGGTCTGAGGTTAGTTTTATCAATAGACCTGAGTGGAAACGCCTGGATACAGATCTGAGGTCAGCTTTACAAATAGACCGGAGAGGAAATGCACGGACACAGGTCTGAGGTCAGTTTTATCAATATATCTGAGTGGAAACGCACGGACACAGGTCTGAGGTCAGCTTTATCAATAGACCGAAGAGGAAACACCACACAGGTCTGAGGTCAGCTTTATCAATAGACTGGAGATGAAACACCACACAGGTCTGAGATCAGCTTTATCAACAGACGTAGAGGAAACACCCAAATGCAGGTATGAGGTCAGCTTTATCAATAGACCGGAGAGGAAACGCACGGACACAGGTCTGAGGTCAGCTTTATCAATAGACCGGAGAGGAAACGCACGGACACAGGTCTGAGATCAGCTTTATCAATGGACCGGAGAGGAAACGCACGGACACAGGTCTGAGGTCAGCTTTATCAATAGACCGGAGAGGAAACGCACGGACACAGGTCTGAGGTCAGCTTTATCAATAGACCGGAGATGAAACGCCACACAGGTCTGAGGTCAGCTTTATCAATAGACCGGAGAGGAAACGCACGGACACAGGTCTGAGGTCAGTTTTATCAATGGACCGGAGAGGAAACGCACGGACACAGGTCTGAGGTCAGCTTTATCAATAGACCGGAGAGGAAACGCACGGACACAGGTCTGAGGTCAGCTTTATCAATAGACCGGAGAGGAAACGCACGGACACAGGTCTGAGATCAGCTTTATCAATGGACCGGAGAGGAAACGCACGGACACAGGTCTGAGGTCAGCTTTATCAATAGACCGGAGAGGAAACGCACGGACACAGGTCTGAGGTCAGCTTTATCAATAGACCGGAGATGAAACGCCACACAGGTCTGAGGTCAGCTTTATCAATAGGCCGGAGAGGAAACGCCCGGACACAGGTCTGAGATCAGCTTTATCAATAGACCGGAGAGGAAACGCACGGACACAGGTCTGAGGTCAGCTTTATCAATAGACCGGAGAGGAAACGCACGGACACAGGTCTGAGGTCAGCTTTATCAATAGACCGGAGATGAAACGCCACACAGGTCTGAGGTCAGCTTTATCAATAGACCGGAGAGGAAACGCACGGACACAGGTCTGAGGTCAGTTTTATCAATGGACCGGAGAGGAAACGCACGGACACAGGTCTGAGGTCAGCTTTATCAATAGACCGGAGAGGAAACGCACGGACACAGGTCTGAGGTCAGCTTTATCAATAGACCGGAGAGGAAACGCACGGACACAGGTCTCAGATCAGCTTTATCAATGGACCGGAGAGGAAACGCACGGACACAGGTCTGAGGTCAGCTTTATCAATAGACCGGAGAGGAAACGCACGGACACAGGTCTGAGGTCAGCTTTATCAATAGACCGGAGATGAAACGCCACACAGGTCTGAGGTCAGCTTTATCAATAGGCCGGAGAGGAAACGCCCGGACACAGGTCTGAGATCAGCTTTATCAATGGACCGGAGAGGAAACGCACGGACACAGGTCTGAGGTCAGCTTTATCAATAGACCGGAGAGGAAACGCACGGACACAGGTCTGAGGTCAGCTTTATCAATAGACCGGAGAGGAAACGCACGGACACAGGTCTGAGGTCAGCTTTATCAATAGACCGGAGATGAAACGCCACACAGGTCTGAGGTCAGCTTTATCAATAGGCCGGAGAGGAAACGCCCGGACACAGGTCTGAGGTTCAGTTTTATCAATAGACATGAGTGGAAACGCACGGACACAGGTCTGAGGTCAGTTTTATCAATAGACATGAGTGGAAACGCACGGACACAGGTCTGAGGTCAGTTTTATCAATAGACATGAGTGGAAACGCACGGACACAGGTCTGAGGTCAGTTTTATCAATAGGCCGGAGAGGAAACGCAAGGACACATGTCTGAGGTTAGCATATTAATAGTCCAAAGTAAGGCAAATACAGATATTATAAGAAGTAACTTGACTGATAAAAACACAATCATACCAGACCCCGAAAGATGTTCCAGTATCTTCGTTACTTCTCTCTAAAGGAGGTGTTGTGATAATCAGGTTTAATATTATATCTTGTGTATATGTCACTTCACATTATAGCACCTAATTCTGAAGGTCTATAATTATCAGTATTCTTTATCATACCACCATCCTCTGTGATTCCTGTGATCCAATCCCTGTATTTATCCACTCTAGTATAGACTCCCGGTTTCTTTGCCTGTCCACAAGGTGTTTCTCCCCAGCTTGTGATCCCGGCCAATATCCATCTGTCTGAGCTGACTTTACACATAAGCGGCCCACCGCTGTCACCCTGACAACAGGCAACTTTAACTCAGATCGACATTTCTTCAAATCAAAAATGATTTTTGAATATGATACTGGCATGAATAACGATGAAACAAAACATTACATAAAAAACGCAGAATTAGCGGACAAAAAGGATCATTGGAGTAATTACAGATCAGTTTCTATCTATTGATAAACCTAGAGGTACACAAATAAAAAACGCAAAAACAAATTCTATTTTCTTCTAGAACACCTGGTTTTATTCTACTTGCACGTGTTAAGGTGTCTCTGTGCACGTTTCTCTTTTGCTCCTATTTTGCCCTAGTTCTATTGAATGTGAAATTGTATCATGTTTATGTTGATTTGTAGGTATTTTCTTGTTTTTTTTTTTATCCTAGTAAGGCGAACGTTTCATTTTCTAAATGGATACAACATTTTGTCACTGTACAAGACACTTGTTAGAGTCCATCTTGAGTACGTAAATAATTTATGACACCCGTATTGATTTAAACATATTGATATGATTGAAGCTTAAGAGTGGATAGCAACCCAACATTTACCTGCACTTAAGGAAATGTCCTGTTAGAATCTCGACGTAAAAGATGTTCATTAGGAACTAAATCAATTGTCTAAATCCTAATTTATTTGCTTTCTTTCATATTTGCATATCATATTTTTAAATTCGTTATTAGATTTAGATTTAGATTTTATTGGTACTCTCAGACATACAAAGTATGTTACAAGAGGTCAGGTTACCACAAAAACATTCATGGCATGGCGGTACACAGTTACATACATAATGATATTTTAGCTACGTAGATTCAATAGATTATCAAGCTTTTCTAGAAATTTACTGAGATTTGATAAAACTTTAACATTACATACAGAAAAAAGTCCATGCATTTTTGTAATACTAGGATAAGTAGAATAGTAATGTGGAATAAATTGATCTCTTATTCTGATGTATGCAACGGTTACGTTGGGTGGTCGGGTGGCGCAGTGGTAACGCACTCGCCTTTCACCTAGCCGACCGAGGTTCGATTCCCGGAGCGGACGTGAAAAGGTAAGGGGTCACCTGCCAGACCACGAGGGTTTTCCCCGGGTACTCCGGTTTCCTTCCACAAGAAGACCCCTCGCGCGCTTACATCCCGGCCAACAAGAGTGTTTAGTATAAGTTGACATAACTTGTTTCGCAATTGTTGTAAAATAGATAAACTTAATAATTATAACTGATTACGCTACCATATTTAACGAGTTTATATTTATCTGTTAAACAGAAAAGGTACATCGATACTAGCGAGAGTGCGCTCCTTGCTAAGTGCTCCTGTTCCATGGTATTGACATAGTCTTTATAAACAATTTATTTAGCATGTTTGTTTATTGTATTCTATTTGTATCAATTTATATTGAGAAGATTTACTTATGTTGAATATAATGTATTCGTATAGAATCGGTTGGATGTAAATATAAATGTTCAGAATAATTATAATAAGAATTTCAACACTACTCTACCTACAGAAGTACCGGGGGGGGGAGGAAGGATGTTAACAAATCAGAGGATAAACCTTGGAATGACATGGTCCAAAGACGGGGGGAAAAGAGGACAAAACATTTTACATAAGCATTGGGAATATCAAGAACATTTATATTAATATAATTCTGAAATTCTGTAGAAATTGAAACTGTGGTCACAATTGATCTGTCTAAGGTATTACTGTTTGTTTGAGTCTGGGATAGAGAATTAGAGAATCTTAATTACCTTGTACTAGTTATCAACTCAACTTGATGACAAATAACATGAACGAAATCGATTAATCTTGATTTTATAAGAAATTTAAATTCCACATTGTGGATTGATCGACACTTCGTCCAGTCCTCAAGGTACGAAATTAACATGTCTGTATTCTCTTTGTTGGTTATATGAATATATGATATTCCGTTAAATACCTTGCATGAATCGATCCTGCCGAGGTCGTATCCACCACACAGCATGGTATCCTTGAGCTTGCCCTGGTACGATTCCTTGCATTTCGAGTGTGTCACTAACTTCATCTTAGCATGATGCATGTATTCCGGCATTGTAGTGGAGTAAAAATCTGCACCATGTAAAACAAATCACATCACTTCCTAGAACATGTATAAGTAAAACATTCACTTAAATATTTTACCGTTAAGGTATTGGTAAGCAAAGATCATGAAGTTGATAGAGACCCTTTTCCCAGTGTATACAAGGATTCAGAGTATATCTTTATCTGGATCAACATGGAGCTGTTGAATACCTCGACACTTAGATAAATCAGTTGCATTCAAATCACCATAAATTTCTAGTAAAACGATCAAACAGCAAAAAGAATATCAACTGTGACTGTTTTTATACAGGTTCATGTAAATGCTGTAATTTTTGAGATCTACATTTTTTCGGTTTTCTTTTTACATTTATTGTTCAAGATTTCTGTGGACAATTATATTTTTAAAAATTAGCCATTAAAATTAAGAGATTTTAAAGTACACAATGTTCCTCAGGTTATATATATATATAATGTACATAAAATGAAATGAATGATGTGGATATTCTTTGCTTAATCCCTATACATTGCTATTGACACGAGGGTTACTAGTGGTATATATCACTGAAATTAATGGAAGGAGATATATCATAGATAATCAATGCCATTAAGCCGAAAATATACTTTTAAGTATCTCACCTGCTACACTCAGTACGCCCCATCCTGACACATAACAAATGGAACTTCCTGTAAGGATGTGCGACTCCGTTGCTAAGCAGAGAGGTTTTACGTGATCGGTAAAGATAACTGGTTTTTGCAATCTCAAGAGAGCAATATCGGCTTCGTAAATGAATGAATTATTTGGATGCATAATGACCTCTGTGACCTTGAAATAAACTCCATCTGCTGGATTCATTGCTATGGAACCTATCATCACATTCAGAAGATACGGTTTTGCAGATACCCTGGAATATGAAATGGAATATGGAAATGAGTTTGAGATATATCGCACATAGTTCTATATAAATGGACATAATTCCACATACCGGGGATGGACGAACCCAATAATGAAGGACAATAAATGTCGTGTTGACGTCTACTTTTATCACTTACGACTCGATACAGTGACTGGCCGTAACAACCCATTGTTGACTAATCAATGTTCCGCCACAAATAAATTTCTGGTTGATTTTAATAGCCACTGTCCATGGCCACTGACCAAGGAAGGACTTGGTCCCCCCTATGATGTATGGTGTCATCAGATTCGGACTTCTTACACCACATTCTGTAAACAGAGTATTCAAAACTCTTGAAAATACAATTATAAAAATGTTCACACACACACACATACACGCAAACACACATACAACTATTTATAGACTACTCAACAGTTTAACAGCTAGTTTATAGTCTAAATACTAACAATTAGGTACGCCAGTACGCCAGTATGGTGGCTAATTTGAGCCAAAAACAAATATTATATTAATGTTTCCTCGACATTAGGTAGGCAACGTCAGAACCCGACGATGTGGGAACTACGAAGCACGAGGTGGTAAGAAAGCAAGTGTCACAGAAAATAAGTGATCTTTATTTTCGTATTAAATTTTAATTTTGTTCTTGTATTTAGAACAAATGAGGCAGTCATTTACGAAAAAGGAAGAAAATAAGTGTAAATTAAATGTTGTATTGTATACTTTGTAGCTACCGTACCATTGTGTTCACATTGAAGTTGTACTTGCTGTCCACTATTGCAGTTGAGTGTTGGTTCAAACATCGTATGAATGAACTTTAATGACATCGGTGGAACATCCTTAAGAGTCATCAGCACTATATCGTTAGAGTTGGCTGATGAGATCGACACAGAATCACTGCAAATATACATTTCTTACGTAGTAAACATTTTAATGATAATTAATATTTTGATTGAGAAAAGAGAATATGATGTATTATCAAATCGTTCCCTACAACACTGAATTCCGATATTGACTCCAAGACTTGCTCTCGACGAAAAAGGCTGGATGTACTGTAGATACCTTCGTCATTCGTTATAAATACCCCCCACCCTCATAGACCATGATTAATTAAATCGTACCTGAAGGCAAGGTTTTGACAGATGACGTCAGCCACTTCTGTACTCCAGTCATCACTACACACTGGATAACTCTGTGCCTGATACATCACACTCACCAACTGATCAGTGTCTCCAATGCCAACTGTAGGGTAGGGTGATGGTGATTTTTTAAAAAAAAATATCTCTTTTTGGAGTATTATGTTAAAGATTATTCATTAGAATAATGGTTCTCACATATCGTATTATGTTTTCAATATTGACAAGAACAGATTTTTTTCCCTCATTTATTTCATCATAAAATTCTACCATGGTACAGTAATACATTTCTTTGGGGATACATAATATACGACGTATCACATTACGTGTAACTTTTGTTTAAAGTAAACCTAGTGACGTCACATGACATAAGAGGAAGTGCCTACGTACCACAGTTATATTCGTCCAGTCCCTCTACACAATCAACGTTTCCGTCACACCGTAACATAGCCGAAATACACTTTCCATTTCCGCATCGGAATTCCCCATCCTGGCACATCTCTTCGATGAAACAAAGTTATAGTTATGACCAAGAAAATCAGACAAAAATGTAAGAAAGAAAATTAGCGTTTTAAACAAAGTAATAGACATGAAAGGATTTGTTTTTCTTTTTGTAAATGTTAAACTACAAGTTATAATGTAAATGAGAGACTTTAAACCTTCAAATCAATACACTGAATATGTTGATATCGGATATATATTCAATACATGTGTGCAATACGCGACGATAATTGAATTTACTGAAATATGGAAAAAAAATAATTAAAGAACACAAAAGAGAACAGCACATTGACAAATACATTCAGAATTAGGTCATCATATACATTCAGAATTAGGTCATCATGAAAGATATCGCATAATTTCCATCATATAATTTTACCAGAGATCAGGTGTTTATGCTTGATTGAACTTCGTATCTTTAAAACGTTAATACAAAGGTATTTTGCTGGTTTTATGATCTGTTTGAGTATAACGAATTATGCTCACGACATGACAATTCGTCCATTGCATCAACACAGTCAGGTTCTTCGTCACATAACCACTCTTCCGGTATACATTTTCCGTCCTGACAAGCATACTCTCCAGACAGACATGACTCTAAATTAACATATAACATATATTTGTAACAGAAGTCGTTGTTTTATCTCAATAACTCCTTTAGGGATCGAACTCGTGACTTTAGGCTTATTAGCTTGTCTTACTCACAACCAATCGAGCAGAAGAGAGCTGGTATCTACCAATTTAGTAAACACCTCTCTCTCTCTCTCTCTTTCTCTCTCCCTCTCCCTTGCGATTCAGGGCAAATTGACAAAGATTGATTTTGTTTTTCCCAAATAATACGTCACACAATGTGTATTATATCATTCAATAATATATCCTTTCATGAAAAAATCAAATTTCAAACATATTACTTATTTTAGTTATAAAATTTATCTGTTTTTACAACACTTGCGAAACAAGTTACCCAGGAAAACCTCACATGGTCGGGTAGGTCCGTTCCAGGAGTCGAACCTCGGACGACTAGGTGAAAGGCGAGTGCGTTGCCACTGCGCCGCCGCGACCACCCAGTGAGTTAACGGGTGAAGTAATTGATAATAAATAATAATATGAATAATGTGCTTATATAGTATTCAAACCTTTCGCTATCGTTGTATACTTCAATTTGAACCCTTTTTTCTCAGCAGCATTCTTAGTCGTAAAACTAATGAATACTGCGTTGGAGGTTGATTTCACATTTCCGGGGGAATCACTTCCACAAAAAGTCGCCAATATTTCTCCAGAAGCTGTGGAGGCATCGTGAATTGTTACGCGGTCGGCATTACAATCAGGGTCAGATTCAAGATCGAACTCTTCGAAAGACAGCTCAATCACCTTTGAATTGAATTAACATGGTTATGGCAATGCATAAGTTTAACATTCACCGTTCAGAAAAATAATTTTTTTTTCTTCTTCAAGAGATTTGTTACACTGACGTTAATTACATTAACCGAGTGTTAAAAAAATTACATATAACTGTATAGTTTTGAAATTATATATAAGTATATAACTACGTTTGGGCTTTCCGCCAATGTCAAGACATATACATTTTTGTACGATGACTTTGATTGAAAAACATAATTTGATGACACTTTCACTTTCTTAAGGTTCCTTACTCAGTATACAGTAGACATGAAGCATATAGAAGGACGATGTGATGAAGCAAAGTTGCAACAAAATTCTCCTACAGAATTAAATTATAACTGTAGTGATATGAACTAACATGATCTGCTGTGGCCATGATCACCCATTCACAGGTAACATTGCCTGAATAGTGATTATTTTCTTCAGTACCAGGAGACTGTATGATACCGGACGGCAAGGTGTGCTCTTGTGGGACTCCTCGGCATGCTAAGGGTAGGTTGATCACACTCGCCACTGTCGTACTATGCCTGGGTTGTGAAGTCGTAGTAGTTGATGGTGTCGTCGTCGTTGGTGTGGGTGTTGTTGTAGTTGTTGCTGGTGTCGTTGTCATTGATAGTGGTGGTGGTGGTGGTGTTGTTGATGTCGTTGTTGCTTTTGTCGTCGTCGTTGGTGTGGGTGTCGTTGTAGTTGTTGATGGTTCCGTCGTCGTTGGTGTGGGTGTCGTTGTAGTTGTTGATGGTGTCGTCGTCGTTGGTGTGGGTGTCGTTGTAGTTGTTGATGGTGTCGTCGTCGTTGGTGCGGGTGTCGTTGTAGTTGTTGATGGTGTCGTTGTCGTTGGTGTGGGTGTCGTTGTAGTTGTTGATGGTGTCGTCGTCGTTGGTGCGGGTGTCGTTGTAGTTGTTGATGGTTCCGTCGTCGTTGGTGCGGGTGTCGTTGTAGTTGTTGATGGTTCCGTCGTCGTCGGTGTTGGTGTCGTTGTAGTTGTTGATGGTGTCGTCGTCGTTGGTGTGGGTGTCGTTGTAGTTGTTGCTGGTGTCGTTGTCATTGATAGTGGTGGTGGTGGTGGTGTTGATGTCGTTGTTGCTTTTGTCGTCGGCGTTGGTGTAGATGTCGGTGTCGTCAATGTCGTCGTCGTCGTCGGTGGTGATGTCAGTTTCTGTGTAGATATAGTTGATACCGTGGTTGATTCTGAAACGTTAAAATACTTTAAATTATGTTATATCATTAGAACGCCCAGGTGAAATGATTACTATATATATACCTCATACACGAGACTATGCAAACATTGTACTGTAAATTATGCGTTACCTTGTACCAAAGTCAGCTTGGCTTGGAATCCTTTTCGCGAAATTATGTAATCGGAGAGGAAGTAAAAGTGAAGGACATTTGACGAACTCTGGATTAGATGGGGAAGGGTTTTCCCACAGAGTTTAGCCAAACGATTGGAGCTGATCGTAGGTCCGTCATAAATTGACAAGCTATCCCAGGAACAGTCAGAGTTTTCTTCTATATCCATAGACATCAGTTCTACGGATATAGCCTAAAATCAAACATGGCGAAATAAAACAAGAAAATTTGATTTTCACAAATGATAGTTGAATATTTCAACTGTTTTTAATAGAACACAATGAAGTTGGTTATGGTATAAAACTGATCTTTAAACAATCCTTATCGTTCATGACAAAAGGTCGGCATTTCAAAACACTGTATTCAGATTATTAGTATGAATTTTCGTGATGTTTTAAAATGCTTCGATTATTGCTTAAAATATGTGAATATCTTCTGTAATTTGACAGGAGTAATGTTTCCTATAAAAGCAACCCCACCCCTCTTACCTGGTTGTTCGAGACATAGACGGTAAGGCTACACTTGGCATTAATCGGATAATTTCCTGATAGGTAGTTTGGAGACGTGACGTAAATCCCGGAGGCAGGAATGGTCATTGTCGACTGTTCACCACAGAGTTCTATGACAACGGGGGTTGGTATGGTTGTAGAAGCCATAGTTGTAATTGCCCCTGTTATTGTTTTAGCTGATGATACAGGCAAGGGCGTGGTTACGGATGTGGTCGAAGGCGTAATCGAGGGATTAGTTGTCAGTGTAAATGAGGGCGTGGTGGAAGGCGTGGTCAATGAAGAGGTAGAAGGTGTGGTTAAAGGCGTGGTCAAAGGTTTGGATGAAGGCGTTGTCGATTGCGTAGCTGGTGGCACAGTCGAGGGCTGGGATGGTGGTATAGTCAATGGCGCAGTAGAGGGCTTGGTAGAGACTGTGGATTTCGGCGTTGTTAACATAGCTGAAGGGGTGGTCGCAGATGTTGGTACTGATGAATGCTTCTTTGTCGTCATTGGGTTATTTGTGGTCGTTGGCGCAACTGATACCTCTGTAAGGAAAATGAATTATGTTACAGTACCATAAAGTGTATTACATAATTATTCAAAAGGACAGAAATCCAACAAATTTAGACGATCCCCGACAATTTGTTAGCTAGTTATGTAGACAAGTGATAGTTTTTTAAGAAAGGTACAAGAATACACTTAATCGTATTCTCTGCGTCTTTGGCAATGCTATATAACAATTAAATACTTTAGTTGATTACATGGGTATTCTTATTCCACGAATTTTTATTTCCAATAATCACTTCAGTGTTAAAATCAGTATTGGTAGATTTATAGTGCACTGTCCTTTACCGAAGACAAGTGTCAACGAACCAGTTTAAAACTTAACCGAATTTGAGTCCATGACAACTTGTGATATTGCAATAAAAGATTTAGATAACAATGTCGTTTGATATGTAAGATTCATACCTATTTCAGTTGAGACATCTAGTTGGAATCCTTTATCAGGTACGATATAATCAGACACGAATTCTAGAAACAATTCAGTTCCGCTGCTATTAATTGCAATACCAGACTTGACACCGCAAAATGTTCCTAGTAGTGCTGATGTTTTAGATGGACCGTCATAGATGGATAGACTGTCCCACGAGCATGATGGGTGGTACTCAACTTTGAAATTTAAAACATTAACACGAATTTTCTGAAATAAAAAAGGTGACATTTGAAAACAATGCTGCTATTTGTCTTCCAATGATTAATGGAGACTCCTAAAAAAATCTGGTATTATTTCTGCTTCATATTGGTCTTGATAAAATGCATTTGTTTAGGATCTTGATGAATTTGACAATGAACGATGCTTCCTTTGTCCTTTTTAAATCACCATTCTTACTTATTACCACTTATACATAAATACCTACCCGATTACTCTCGGTTTGAAGTTTCAATCCGCATGTAACACTGACAGGATAAGTTTTACCGGGACCAAAGTTTGGAGAGAAAACTTTAATGGATGTATCTACATAGGATTGCTGGTATCCATCATTTAGTATTATGGGATGGGTGTCTGTGCCGTGATCAGGTACTGACGACGTCACGTGATTCGTGGTCGCTTTAGGAGGAGTTGTGGTCGTAGGCGGTGACGTGGACGTAGATGATACAGATGGTTTCATTGTCGATGCTGCAATACAGAGGTGACAGGAAAATATTAAGGATGCATGTTCATTCCGTACCAACATGCACGGAGGGGATATGTATAAATCATATATATGCATTGTAGTATGAAATGTATCATCAATCTAGGAATTTTCAGTGCTTTATGTTGGTTAATTAAAAGGTTAAAGATCGATACAGTATGAAACGTGGCAGCGAGTTTCAACTGTATATATATATATATATTGAGGATGAAATAAATTCATGAAATATAGATACATCAAAAAATTAAAATTGGCAGAGAAAACGTCTTCAATAAGAATGCATCCCTTTTGCATTGAACTTTTGGTAACACCGCTAAAATTTACGATATCGAAAAACACTACCTTTACAGTATGCAAATTGATATCATCGATTCAATGTTAACGTACATATTTTAGCGCATTTAGCACAAAAGCAAGCGGACCTCGAAATAAGCAAGCCTCGTCTTCTTTTCGAGTTCATGGGACATAACGATAAAATGTGAATGCGCTTACTTGAATTTCTCTATTGTTTATATAGCATTAATGCGGATGAGCTAATTTGCCAAAAATAATGTTGCGCTAAATTTTGATTTTGCCAAATTAAATACGTTTAACAGTATATCATTATTGTATCAAATCTTACATATTAAATGATGCTTTAGTTGTCTTCTTTAATATTTCATGTATGTTTCGACGTTTACTAAGTAAAAACGAGTCTGGTGCTCATATCCCCTCATTTTATTTATTTTGAAATAAATCAAAACAAAATTTGCAATTATTCCGATAGTTGCTATAAATAAATAAAGATGGCAGCCAGTTTAAATACTACATACCGTTAATTATTTTGTATTTTATTTTGAATCCTTTCAAAGTGTTGATGAAATCCGAGTAGAATCTGAGTACGATAACACTAGCCGTTGTCTTGAGTGGTGGTAATGTTGTACTTCCACACAGCCTGGCGAGTAGAGGAGATCCTGGCTCTAGACCACCTTTGAACTCCACATAATCCCAGTTACAATGTGGATGATATTCAATAGCGAAATCTTCGAAAGTAAATTCGATCAGCTGTAAAATTTTGAAAACATATATCTCAGCCTGTATTTTTTTTGATATTCTTCGTTCTTTGATAATATCTTTTTTCTCATTTTATTTATAAATCACATTAAAGCATTTTCAATATTTTGATCTTCTAATTTTGCAAACACATCGAAGTGACCATTTAAAATTAAGAATACATTATTTCCATTGATTTATTTAATTAGTTAAAAGCAGAAGTTACTTGCCACAAAGATAATTTCGAAAATTAGGTACGCTATAAAGACAATTTTCAAGCATTGAAACACTTTGCGAATTATAAAACATTCGCATAAATTCTGTATGTCAAAAGCAGTTTTTGAAGCTTGCTACTATTCAAACGAAATAAAACGTGACAGACAGATTGTAGAAAAGAAAACACTATGATTACCCGAATGATTCGGACAAACAAAATAATTGGCCCTTTCGATACAAATTTGGTAATAATCTAGACTTTGATTAAATTCACCTGGCCCTGTGGATTAATTATATGGAGAACACAGTCTTGATTTATCTCGTAGTTATTTCCGGAACTGTAGAGTGGTGATATGATGTATCCTTCCGCGCTACCATTAACAAGTGATGGGGTTTTGCACATCTCTACAGTAGGACTCGCACCACTGAAACTGACGTAAAGCGTCTGAACATCTGGAATGGTAGATGACGCTGTTGTTGTAGTCAATGTTGTCGGACTTTGCGTTGTGAGTGTCGGTGTTGCGTTTAAGGTAGATGATAATGTTGTTGTAGGTTGAATGACTGAAAGAAAAATTCGTAAAAAATATATATATTTAATAATATTTGATATTGATAGCAATGGAATTATCGATTCATACTGTTTCTAAGCAGAACATTCAACAAAAACAAAGCATTTTTTGTAATATAGGGAATACATGGTCAGTGACTTAAAATATAATCTGTTTTTTGGCGAGGGCGAAGAAAGACCGAAGTGGCGAGCTTTTGGCGAGCCACTTTTGGCTTTCTGTGTACGTGTGTTTCATTCATGTTCTTGTCAAACACATCCAGAGCAGCCACTAAGTATGGATCAAATTCGTTTGGAACTTCTACCAAGTTCAACCGCTCTGACGGGGTAATATCATCATTTATATTTACACTTGGCCTATCGGAAGCTACCAATTCATTATTCACAGTTTCATGATATATTGGTCCTGTGTTTGGTTCTATGATTTCGAAAAGTATATCTATCATTTGTTGGCTCAATTCCCTTTGAAAATAATCATCTTCTTCCATCAGCTGGGCAGACATTTTGGAATTTGTTGTTTTTGTTGTGACGTAAGCTGAGCAACAATTTCAGAAAACAGATCTACGGACAGTTATTTCTTAAACGAAATAGAATCTTGACTCATGTTTTGGACGTAAATAAACGAATTCCAAAAAAATTACGACAAGTTATACATTTAGTTGTGCAATGTGCATTACATCGGCATTTCCGACATGTGTGTAATGTACCGTTTGAATACGGTATGAAACTCATAGTGCGGGTCACACAGAAAGTAGTTCCGTCGAATTCGTGCACGTGCTAGAAAACAGCTGTTTTCCGGCACTACCGAATACAGCAAAAATATATGTGGCCGGTTTATTCCGACAATGGCAGTGGCAGTTGCAGAATAAAATCTATATAAGTGTTCTACGATTATTTGAAATAATGAATGAGCCAGTTTTCCGCCTGTTTATCGGTTACATTACAAATACACACAATTACATATTTACCTTTGTGTGGTATTGAAAGTTTTATTTTAAAGCCATGCCAGGGTACCACGCTGTCGGAGATGAAGATCAGGTTAATATCAGCTGCAGATGACTCCAAATTGTCGGGAGTGTCTTCGGAAACACCACAAATTGTTGCTAATAAGGACTCCTGTCCTTCGATGACTTGTAACTTGTCCCAAGAACAAGTGTGGTGTTTCTCGACGTTAAAGTCGATAAATGAAAACTTCAGAATCTAAAAACATGCGGAATTTTTGATAGAAAAAAAATGGAGTATATCACACAATTTCAATTGTAAATATTTGATATATTTGAGAGAAGAAGAAAATTGAGCACCGCAAAGATTTTTACATCATATGTCTAGTTTTTAGGGTAGAAAGCGATCTAAATTTACACATTTACATGGAAAGTTTGCACTGTGTGTAAGCTGGATACATACAACATGAAAGGATTTTGTTTTGTATATACCTTCTTTCCTGGGTTAAGTATTTTGAGATGACAATGCCTATTATTCCCGTAGTTCTGATTTTGGGTGTAGCCGGGAGATATAACCAGAGCTTCATGGTCAGCCTTGTACAAGGAGATGTCTTTACACATCTCCACTACCGTGTGGTCTCCTAATCCAGTCTTTGATTGATCTATCAGTAGAGTTTGTACGCTCAGCTGCGACGGACCAACCAGCATTTGTGTAAATGGTGTTACCGTATTTTGAAGCAATGGCGTCGATGATGTTTCCGTTGACGGTGTCGTTGATGGTGTTGTCGGTGATGTAATAAAAGACGTTGTTACCGATGGGTTCTGTATGGCAGACATTGTAGTAGATGATTGTACTGAAATGAGTATGAAAGAATTAACAAAATATGTGAGTGGCACCTGTCGGTATCAATTTTAGAAATAGATAGAACTGGTCAAATAATGTATCATACACTTGGTTTAGTCCTTCAGGGGATAAGGACCAAATTTTTTGAAACACAGACAGACGGTGTCTGAGAAAATTACAATGTCAGAAACCATATGGAAAGCTCCAGTTAACTAATACTTCAAGAAAACCTCAATGATGTTAATATTAAATCATTTCGAAATAGCGTCAAGCACATGTGTATATTATGAACCGTGTCACTATTTACATGAACTACAACGCAAACCTAAAAAAAGTCCTCTTTGTACTTTCCATTTTTCATTCCTGTACAAAGTCACTTATCCTTGTAATCCTTTTCAGATTTAAACCATTTAGAAATGAAACATAGCAATATGTTAGAGAACCACGTTAAAAGGGGAAACACCGTGTCATTGATAAATAAATATCAGCTAAAATTATGGTAGTTCAAAATAAGTTATGAGGTTACTATTTTTCGTGACAATTTACTGGTAACATATATCAACCAATGAAAACTACCATTTTGTGATGTATCTTCGGACGTAATCAACAGATGGAAGCCAGGCTTTACTATATATTGATCCGAATGGAACTCCACACAAGTCTCAGCTGTATTCGAAACGATGTTGTTTGGCACAGTAGTGCCACAGTAACGCTTGATGTCTTCGCCATTTCCACACGTTCCATTGTATATCAAAATATAGTCCCAACTACATGATTTATGGTATTCGAGGTTGAATTCCGAAAATGTTAATTTCAGTTTTGCCTGAAATAATAAAAAAATGTCAGGGAGGTAATTTCATGTGAAGTGATTACCATAATGATTTGAGGAAAATATAAGTACTCATTATCATCAAACAAACGTAAAATAATCTATTTGTTTATAGATTTTATACAAAATGATAGATACGTGTGTATATTAGAACATTAATGTATACAGGAATATGAATATTCGTAAAAACGCTGAAGAAATATATGAAAAATAGCAGTTTTATATTACTGAAAATAGTTTATGGTAAAAACATCTTCAGTCATGCCAAAGGACTCATGAATGCATCGGTAAAACAATGGTTTGCGATGTATTCTTAAAGGTCAATTTTGCGTTTGGCTTATTCATTCAACAGTTCCGGTAATACAGATGTCCAATATTGCTAGTATACCCTACAAAGTCGATTGTGAGATGTTAAATCATAAACGTCATATCTGCCATATAAATATGGCATACAGGAATAACTATAATATAGTATATATAACATATAAGACTTCAAATATTTGTAAACTCTTAATTATCATAATTCTTAAATATATCTGAAGATAAAAGACACATTGTAAGGCATATTTTGCTCACTACATATATAGATGATGTCTTGCCCTAGTACTATTACTGGAATCAAATGAAACCTGATATTAACACTACACAATAACGTTATACCTGACGAAATATGTTATGTATTTTAATTAATTGATATTAAAATAACTTGAAGGAGTTTTCGCGATATTATAGTAAAAAAGGAATTATAACCATTTGTATCATGTGTTACTGCCGTTGAAACTTCATACTCCCAATAAATTTCTCTGTTTCGTCTTAAATCTTTTTGCTTTTAAATATCTTAACTTTTGGGGCTGTCGTCACACATATTTTAAGGAATCGAATTTAAGAAAATAATAAATACAAATCTCCTGTATGAAGAAGACATCTTTGCTAATATCCATCTACTTTGGAAATGTTAACTTACTATTTAAAACAGGAATTAGAAATTAGTATCTCCCGTTATTTTCCCCTATGCCCGTAATTCCACTATTCATGCAAATGTCATCTTTCATCATCATATAAAGTGTTTTGTGATAGTAAATAATTATGATAGAGTGAGCTATTAATCAAAGTATATGATTTAAGGAAGAATTTCCTATGCGCTAAGATTTGACTGACAACAACAAATTTTTAATAAGCAGAGCATGAAAACTCAAGTAAGTTTCATCGTACTTAAAAATTTACCTGTGTCAGCGATCTGTGACTATGCAGGTTTGATTTTCATCACTTATTGACCTTTCACGTATACATGATAAACAGATTTGATGCAACTCCTTATTGACATTATGATAATATATACCCAAGTAAAATGATAAACAAAATCTCAAGTAAGTTTTCAGTTGATATACGGATTATGAGACTGATCACTTTTTTTTTATCTTTAATCGCCAGAGGCTCGATAGAATACAAAAATGTAAGACTGATTTCATAAATCACACACGAAATGGAAAGATCATTTATATTCTATTAACTTATAAATTATACTAATAAGTTTAATTCTTTCCTTACTAGATTTGTTGACAAACTATGGTTCTATTGAGATTGTAATGGGAGAGCGCAGATGCTTCACACATGGCAGACGAAAACCCATCACACCTTTTTTCATGTGAAATTACGTACTTTGGGTTATGTTATGTTATGGGTTTTGCTCCATCGCATAATTTGATGTTATATTTAAAATGTTTTATTGTCGCCCAATTCTATCTCCAGATCTGCTTTACCTATTATGATCACATACGTCAGTAATCACCATATCTAATGTTCGCTTAAAGGTACATAGATAGATTTCGAATATTATTTGTGTCTTACAAACACGTTTTCAACATGATTTATACGTTGTCATTACATAACAACATCTCGTTTTGGTTTAATATGATCATGTTTATAGGCATATGATATGCGATTTTTTAACAGTTCTTTTCAATTGCCTGTGACTGTATTTTTATGACTGAAATAACGCCCACATAATTTACGTAAGCATTGCAATTGTGCGATTTCTATTTTTGGTTAAGATAGGAGAACACCACTTTCCGTAAAATGACACATTTTCTTTCGTCCAATGTGGATAGCTGGAATAACTGATTAAAAAACCTGTTTCAGGTTTATATCGTCTGAAGTTATGTTCCTGACACCAACCTCATACATTGTGCAAATTTACTTTCAATATTATAATTTAGCCATTATATCCCCCACGTTATAACAACATGACAATGTATTTACTCACGAGTACAAGCAATTAAATTATCCTAAAAGAAGAGTCCTTCTGCTTAGATGTCATTTTATACGATTAACAGTTTACATACGTGTGAGGTTGTGGTTATGTTCCATCTGCAGTCGAGGTTCAGTGGGTAGCTCCCCTCTTTATATCCTGGGGACTGAATAGAGACCTTGCTGCCTTTCTCTACGAAAATCTGATATTCCCAGCAAAGAACACGGGAAACTGACAGCAGGACAATCACACCTTAAACAAAAACACATTTATTGTATTTTTATAATCTAATGACAAACATTAGTTATTTGGGACGCAGTGTACACTAATCGCCTGTCAACAGGGTGACCGTTGTTCTTAAATAACGTTAAACAATCGGTGAAACATATCGTTGAATATATACTTCATGAAGAGACACAACTAAATTTGATATGTAACCTTTGAACCTGGCGCAGTTTTTTGTTATCTGATCTGTTTTTCAAAAATGTAATGACCAGTTATAGAATTGCGCAGACAACTATGCTTGATTTTAATATAACTTCCTTGTAGGTACCCAACCTGGTGGAAGAATAGATTTCACTTTTGAAATAGAAAGCCGTTTTTTATCTAGATTTAACATGCGTGTATCACTTAAAATCTTCAGATGACGCGGTTGTTAAATTAGTGGTTTTTAAGAAATATTTACCAAGCACCTATTCTTTCTTAGCACATCAATAGCAATTTTTGAGATCAAATGATAAAGCAAAACATTGTGTTTTTCTGTTACTACTAGGATATTTTGTTACTTGAAAAAAAAAACAATCGTATATGACATCATTTATAATGGACAGCAATAATTCTTACTTTCGTTTTCCAATTTAACAACATAATTGTTTTTAATGGTTTTTTTTTCTGTAAGATTCTGACGCATGAGTAGAAGTAATTAATTATATACGAATATGTCTTCATTTACTTTGTGTATCGACACTGTTCTCTTGACAGCCTTGATATGTGACATAAGTTATCATTACACCAGACATGCTACGTGAACTACAATAGGCGTTAACGTTACAACATTGGCTTAAACAAGAACGGAACTGTACATGCTACCGCATTTCACATAACACTCACGTTCGTGGGTTTCAGATTGAATTTAGTTATAAAACATTCTCAAAAGTGTCTTATTTAGACATAGCAGAGTGCCATATCATTCCACAGCGAAAGAAGTTTCTTTAGAAAGATGAAAAAGAAAAAATAAAGAGAGAGAGAGAGAAAAAAAGATTTAGATGTGTCCCCAAATATTTAAGCCATCATACTTTATGATGCGTTCATAAGATCGAATCAAAATGCCCGGATTATTGCTGGTCCAGTTTTCTCATGTTTACGTAAGTTCGTTGTTTATTTTTTCTAGAAATGTAATTAAATGCTAACAACTGGACAAAGAATTTATTCATTGAGACAATATAAAATCATAATTTGACATTTTGACGAGCTAGATAGCTTGTAGACCTTATTTCAATAACTATATATACTTTTCCGTTTTTTAAATTTTTAGCTCACAAATTAGCATAAATGCTGGTATTGCAAATTTTTAAATATTATTTTATCATTTTTTTTATTTTGAATAAGTTATCAGTATCCCTATTCTGATATGAAGAACGAGTTTTGAGGTGTAACCTAACTCAGCCATCTAAAACAGATTTTAAGGATTTTTTTTATGAGGGATATACTCTCATGCTTTAAACAATGCTTTTAGTATATGATAAGTTTGAGAAGAATACCTTTTATATGTATACATACATGTACTTATACAAAGTGCAAGTTTTATGTTATTCTATTTTATTTCTATTTTGCTCTTAAGGTGCTGTACGTGTAAATTTTAAGTTATGCTTCAGTGACGTTGCAACGTCCTCCACCTTTTCGTAACCCTCCGGTAAACAACCGATGGAAATAGTGTCAATCTTGGATGTAAAATGTCTCCGTTCATAGAAACACGGCTAAGTCGAACCATCAGATAAGTGGAATATTTCATTTGGTTCCGTCGACTTCGTCTTATCCGTGTTTTACTGTACTTCTTTTATATATATCAAAATATACTTTTTACTCAAGATTATTAGGAGTCCTTTGATCTTTACAAATGATAAAAGAATTTTCAATGTTTTTTAATGCTTATTATAAATCTTTCCTGACCCATATCATGCATAATTGGAAAATATTTTAGTTTTCGATGATTTTTCCTGTCATTCTCTCCCTTTTTTTTTTACATATATATGAGGTATAGTGTGCATGACTGTGTAGTTACGTGGCATTTGATTGTTCTCATCATATTTGAATTCTTAAGATTTTTTGAGTGAGAGAGACAGAGTGAAATGCACTTTTAAACAGGAATATTATCTGTGTTTCCTCACAAAGCATTCAAAATCCATCAAAAACTGGCATGCCTTTACGGGTCACTTAAAAAGCACACAACCAAATTAAAATAAAGTGTTCCTGAACGTTGCAATGTACATGATAAGTTGAATATCCTAAAATCATACTAACATGTCAATTCGTTGTCACATTTCCTATTTATGAGCATGCAAAGCTGCCCATTATTCAAACCACCCGTACAAACTCTCAATACCTGAACAGGTTCTAGACGTATTTGACATAACTTCATCATAACACCGACATAATTATTCATGGTAACGCCGGCATAATTGTACATGGTAACACCGACATGACTTGAAACCGAGATAGATGGTGACTCCATGATAACACCGATATAATTATTCATGACAACACCGACATAGTTTTTAACAATAACACCGACATAATTTGTCATGACAAGAACGACATAAACCTGAGATGGTGATGACTTCATGATTACACCGACATATATTTTCATGATAACACTGATACGATTTTGCACGATAACATCGACATGCTTTGAAACCAAGATAAACATAACTTTATCATATCACCGATATTTTTTTTCACGATAACACCGACATGATTTGAAACCAACATAGAGGTAGATTCATTATAGCAACGACATAATTATTCATGATAACACCGACATGATTTGAAACCAACATAAAGGTAAGTTCATTATAATAATGACGGTATTTTTCACGATAACACCAACATGAATTGTTTTTGTAATGTTCAGGGATCTTAAAAACGCAACATGGCACATCATGTGTACAAGAAATTAAAGACATAAGACTGAAATACACGTTTCAATCTCTATGGAAAGTGCATGTCTGCAATAATATGTTTTCACCCTTGATATTTAAATTTTGCAGTACACATTTTATAGTATCCTGTATCATGTTTTCAGTAATTTCAGCGTTATTTGGTAGAAAAGACACCCATTGAATACCATCTGATCTAAATGTATCTTTGCTTAGGCTGAATGTTTCATGGAATAGATTTGTTATACCGATGTTTCTATATGATAATGTGTATCCCGTGACCTGCATTACAAGTGAGATATCTTTATACCTTAAGGATTTTTAACTGCATATTTGTTTTCTTTTAATCAATACTTTCTTTACATATCATGACATGATTACCTTAAAATATTGAATGACGATATATTTCTATTTTGCTCCAGCCTACAGTGGGTTCATGTAAATAACCGCCATGGTCGGATGAACGTAATAGTTAGCAGTGTGTAGACAAGCATGCTATGTATTACTGAAGTAGAAAATTTTAATTTCAAGCATTTCTTCTTTCTTTCAATGCTGCTTATAATAATTATGATAATGAAAGAAGAAACAAGAAATGATAAAAATGATAAATGTCTTTCATGTTGATAAGCTGTAGCATCCCTAACGATACTCAATGAATAGCTTATATTTTAGACATACATAACAATCTTACAACTATGCAAGTGTACATCCTTTCTGAAACCATAACCTTGTATTATATACAAGCTCAATACTGAATGGAATCAATGCTACATAAAATGTTTTAAAACAATGTGAATGCTACATATGTGATAAGAAATCCAATATAAAATTAGTGCTGCGAAGAAAATGATTTTAATTGTTGCTTACGGATATATGTTATATTTAAATGGAGGCAGGTGTAAAATGTAAACATATATATACTAAGCAATGTAAGAAATTACTGAGTGTGCGACAAAGATCCACTAAACCGCCAATGTCATTTTTTCTTTTGTATTGTCAAGCTTTTGTAGAGAACACGCTAATGCATTCTAGTTATGTTTTGTCACATGATTCTTTAATAATGGCGTATGTGTTTAATTCCCATGACATCTCGCATTATCAGGGCTTATCAAGACTCGTATGGTGTCAAAGTTATATATACAGAGTAACAATTGTGGTCATTCATAAGAATCCTCATTATACATAATGTATCATATATGCTTTAGTAAAAAATTACAAGGCTGATTTGCAACGTAGCAACATCGTGTTTCCATGTAAGTTTTTGACATAAATAATTAGTATACTAAATCAATCAACCAAAAATGTGTAGAACGAACAGGATTTGTATCGCTGGAAACAAAACAGAACAAAAATAAGTTAAGCAGTATGACGTAGGACAAAACCATGGTACTGAGAACTGCTCCTTCGTTGGAGTGCCAGTAATGTAATGGATAATGGCTACTCTATTTGGAACTAAAATAGTTAGAGTAGATCAATTAAGATAGATCAATCCCTACGATGAATAGATTGAAACCAACATATACAGCATCACAAGATCAGCTCTGTTTTCATATGAAATCAATAGCGAGACAACAGAGGAAAAGTATTCGATACTACAGTTATGATGTATAGGTTATATTTTCCTGTTAACCCGAAGCAAAAAACCCCTAAAAAAACAAAAAGACGCCAAATCGAGATAAAAAGACGCCAACGTGTAAAGTTAATGTGTTGTTGTTTTTTTTTTTTTTTTCGCTTTTGTGGATTTTCGTCTTTACATCATTTCGACGAAATATCAGATAGTAGCCATCATAAAAAACAAAACTGCTCTTCATTAATCATTCATGCTTTACACGATGTTATCAGGATCATGGTATGACAATATTTATGTAGTTGTTAAATAGAAATAGGTTCACTAGCCTCATGTAAATATACTCTTCAGCGACCATTTGCCATTTGATTTTTAAATGTGTTCACTGGACCGAGCTTTAATGCCTATGACCCATTTTCGTGTAATGGTCTATCGAAACAAAAGCGTACCAGTAGTGTGGTTATTTATGTTTATCGTGAACTGAAGCGTAAAAACATGTACAATTGATCTATATGTCAAACCCCAAACTAATTGAAATAAATAATGGATGATGACCTATTTTAAGAAGCATTTTTGTTTCAATTTTTTAATGGAATGCAGTATTTATTTATTTTTTTCGTTTTCTTAGCAACACAAATTTCAAATTTTCAACTTCCAAAACATAAGAAAAAGAATATTAATCATATACAAAGTCCTATGATTATGAATTTGATTCATCGTTTCATGTTTTTAAGATGACAAATCGTTCTCGTTCTGTGTTCCGCAAAGTTGTCATATATATATATCAAGTGAACGATATATGAAAGCATTATGAAAGATTAAGATAACAAATGAACAGAACAGAAACAAATTAGTTTTTTATGTAAATGTCGTAACAGGTCAGTTGGAAAATACAATTTTGTCAACTTGAATGTTTCCCTCGTGGAAAACATATAATAACTGGCAGGTGCTTTCAGGTATAAAAGACGTTTCTTACAAAAAAAAAAAAAAACCTTTTGTATTAGAAATGTGATACTGTCTTCTCTTTTTGAAAGTGTTTCGCCTGCTGTTCAACCGAAGCTCTAAATCTTTTAAAACCTTTTTAATTGAAATGAAACAAAACATAATACAGAACGGATTTCCAACTTATTGCACACCTTAAGGAAAGCGTTTTTGTATTCATATAATGAGGAAAATGACAGCCGATAGACATATGTTCGAAGATTAGCTAAAACTAAACAATAATCTTAATATTTCTATATGTTTAATGTAATGTTTGAAGTCTATGAGTTGTGTATAATTACGTAAAACGTGTAATTGAGTAGAAATCAATCGGTGACGCCACCCAATGGAACTGTAATAGTCTGCTTTATGATCCTTGAAATTCACCTTGAACCATTTAAAGTCCTATCGGTGCATCAAACAAGTTATCTTCTTTAATCTGTGTAAGCACGTTAACAACCTTTGATATGAAAGAAGATATATCTCAAAGCAACACAATCTCTGTCCCAGAAATATATACCACTTAAACCAGCATTCAAAGGGACTGGGATAGTCAGATTTAATGCAATTTACCAATGAATGATGAATGGTGATTTTATGACGTGGTGGTAGATTGACTTTCACATTCTGCTTTACCTCACGCTATCATAACATTGCAACAACATTGCAAGTTGTCCTTCATTTCTGTGCGATATGAAGATAAAATAAAAGCAAGTTACAATGCATATTGGTTTCGACGTTATCCAGTTCTAACTTCGTTGACGTATAACTTTTTTATGCTTGAATTATTTGTGGGTATCCGTCCATGTACAGGCTTGTCTTTACGTAATTTTACTGATTTTCAGTTTGAATTACATGTCTATTGACATCTTCCTTTTGTATAGTAAGAAGTGGGTTTTATAATACACAATGACTGTACTTTATACCATGAACACAAAGATGTTCAAACATTACATAAGCCGCTGGTTTTTTTCATGTCGACAAATAAATTCAACTTTTGAATCATGGATCAATGTGACTCAAATATTTGCAAAAATAGAAATGAAGATATGTACACACCTTACAAAATGAATGATATTATACATTAAAAGATCACAGCATTACATGCTTAAGGAGGTAATCGTCACTGCAGACGACAATTACTTCTTCTTTGTGGTGGGCAACAAATTGCATCTACAACAACTCGAATTTAAAATTAATTGTTTTTTTTATTTGTATTCGTTTTGATATTGTTTACTTTCATAACCAATTTAATTGCAATGTTGTTTCATTCGGATTTTCGATGTTATACCAATTTGGAAATGCTTAAGAATAATCTCCCAGAACATGAGAGTTTAATGGTGTTAATTGTAATGAAAATTACTGACACAATACCTGTTCTTACAAAAGTATTCTCAATAAAATATTAGTGTGTAAAATGAAACTTTTCTGTCATGCAGAATCATGTGGGACATTATTTAATGTAATGATAATGGGACGTGTATTCAAAGCATTCACGTTTAATTAATAACGTAGGCTCATAAACTTCAACCAATGGGCTGCAGGTCAGTTGTTGGTCAGTCTCTGGTCTACCTTTACATACGGTAATGCTACACTATTTACTCTCCTACTGAATGTGCTGCTAATGTAAACCCCAATTTTTTAAATGTGTACCTGTCAAATATCACGTGTATTTGCCCCTCCATTGGGAGACAAAAAAATTAATACATGAAATTTCCTTTACAAATTTAAACATACAAACTATCTTTTCATTGTCCTTTTTCATTTCAGTTTGTTTTGGAATAATAGGGATTACTTTAAAACCTGTATTTCAACTTGTCATTAAATTAACAACTCTCCATGGCAGTTAGACATTCAGTTGCAAGGTAATCGTTGCTTTTTTCTTTCATTCATGACATTTGAATTGTCCTAAGTAACGGAAATTAAACATTAAACCTAAACAACGGAAGTAAAACCTAAGTAACGGAAATGAAACATTGAACCTAAACAACGGAAGTAAAACCTAAGTAACGGAAATGAAACATTAAACTTAACTAACGGAAGTAAGACCTAAGTAACGGAAATGAAACATTAAACCTAACTAACGGAAGTAAAGCCTAAGTAACGGAAATGAAACATTAAACTTAACTAACGGAAGTAAAACCTAAGTAACGGAAATGAAACATTAAACCTAACTAACGGAAGTAAAATCTAAGTTACGGAAGTACATCCTTAAACCTAAACAACGGAAGTAAAATCTAAGTAACGGAAGTACAACCTTAAACCTAAACAACGGAAGTAAAACCTTGGTTACGGAAGTAAAATCTAAAAAATATGAAACGAAAGTAAAACCTTATTCTGATATCTTTCTCCATGATAAACTTTTTAACGGAATCAAGATCGGTTCATCAGACAAAATCAATTTTATTGTCCGATTAGGTGTCTAGAATTTGATTTAGCTCGTAGATACTATTCTATCAGTGCATTGACACTCTTTACATATTTTTGTTTTAATCCTATGTTTTATATTTACACGGATGTTAGAAAATGTGAAATTGATAAATTAGTCACGGATGGGTTTTATTTCACCTTGTTAAAGACATGCTAAAAAAGAAAATTCCAAGACACATTTTCACCAATCTGTTTTAAACTGTTTAAAATGTTAACTCATGTAACATCCTCTATTTAGCGTATCTACATATCATTGTGATGTAACTACCTGTAAACATCACATAAATTGTACATGTCATAACGCAAAGTTGTTGTACTATTTTCAGTATCTACTAATATATGTTTCTGAGAGGTAGTAGTGTATCATGGGCTTTGTACTTACCTGTTACACCGAAACTTTTCAAAAGCATGATTCCCATGTCTAACTAATCGGCTACTCAGCCTGGGGAAAACGTCCTTCATCACAAAATAATCCTTGTTTTCACTTCATATGCGATCCTCCTGTCGGTATCTCCAGCATCTGGAAATAATTGACAACTTTTTAATGCGACACACTTGAAATAGGAACTTTCATAAAATAGCATATAGAACGTAATTATTGAAAATGCTGATAATTCTTTAAGTATCTAATGAATGTAAGTACCTGTTGATTTGCTCATAAATGACACGTGGAACCTGTATACAAGTGGACGTTGTCTTAACCAATAACGCGATGCAATAAAATATGCATTTAACGATTGAAATTTTCGAGCATTTTATCGCCTACAAACAATTTCGTCTACGTGTTGTACCTGGTCACTCAAATATTTCCACGTATAAATATTTATTTCCAATAGTTAGAAATGTACAATGGATACTATTTATGTCGCTCACGGTAAAATACAATTAGTCCTTGCTAAAGCATTGTCACCTGGTGTTTACACTTATCCCTGTGGTCATTTGAAATCTCCATTCACAACTGGACAAAAAGTATACAACAATCGCGTATTAGGCATGGTTCGCTTAAAAAGCACAATCAGCATTCTACTTAAAGATAGATAAGAAAAACCTTTCCACTCTGATATACTAAATTATGTGATAACTATCTCCTTTTAGAAATAAATCCTTTGATAAAAAAATAGGGTTACATAAAAATGCAGTATATATATATATATATGTTAAAGACATTTATATGCTTGCTATTTCGTCATAATGAAATTATAAAAAAAGCATATTTGTTCCTAAAACAATAGCAATTTCAAAACTTACTTCCAAATGCGTATGTTTTTACCTGTTAGCCAATGCCTACGACTGGTGAAGATGCGTCGTTCACTCTATCTAGTTCGGCACATTTTATGTCCAAACATTAAGTTGGGCAGGCGGCCCTATATCGTCTACTACACCTGTCACTTGAATGGGGATCTTGTCAAAATGAAATTTTCTGTTGAACCAAATATATATGTATTTCTACATGCTTCAGATGTGACCTACTAAGTAAGTAATAATATCGAGCCCTACCTCTTTATGGGACGTAACACCTCAGTGAGTGTGTCAGAACAGCGCATTAATATTCACAGAGCGTAACAGACCCGTCATTTACCCATAATTTTACCTGTGCAAGCCCCAAACAAAACTATTGTATCACAGGCCAATGTCTACAATGGGTAGTGAGCAAAACAAGTTTAATTCCTTCATAGCAATGCTTTTGAAACGTACACGGATGTTTGCCGGCTCGTGGCGAATTATGCATTTTTGCATTAATGGCACAGCATTTTCAATAGATCCAGGTTTTTGAGAGATTGTCAGGTGAACAATTGTCGTGACGTTATTACAATTATATTATAAATAGTTACATAATGGGTTTATATAGTGATTTGCTAGTATTTTGTTCGAATTCGGCTTAGGTCAATGATAGACGTTATCCAGCTTAAGACCATGGGGTTACCAGTGAATCTAGATTTTACAGAGATAAGACAGCTATCGTCGAGCTTTAATTGATCACAAACGTGCGCTCAAAATAACAAAATCTATTTATTGATATCATGTTATTTAATTTAAGACAGATGTTGAATGAGGCATACTTTATAAATAAACGCAGTAGAAAGTACTAGTAACACAATGCCAAAACAATTGAATATGTATTTATCAAGCACAACTAGTGTATATCCCTAAAAGTAGTTGTATGGAATATATCTAAGAACTGAAAGTATTTTTGAACAGGAACGTTAGCATATTTTCATATATATTGTATATCGTTAAATTTCTAATTTGGATATACTGGTTATTGAAGTAATTTTTAAAAAAACCGTGTCAATATGTTTTAATACGTGACCGGGATACAGGATGGTGTTCAACACATATACTGACACAAGTATTCATAACATGCCAGCAGACAGCAATATAATAACTAAATAATCAACTGATCAACAGTCTATGAAATTTAAATTTGCACAGTATGGGGCTACGAATCTCTGTTTCTAAAGAATCCGCTGGTCACATTCCAGGTGTGAGTAATCTTAGTCCAGGTACTACTCACATCGAAATTATATTGTATGTGATATAAAAGCTTAATACGAACAAACTATCTACATTACCATCTCATACAAATGTTAATACGTCACCAACGTGACATTTAACCCATACAGGTGTAATTGATGCATCAGTATCTTATATACTTATACTCAGTGAAATTTTCTATAGAATATCAAAACATTCCACTTCACCCAAATGTCCTGCATATATTCTAAACTCAATGACACACCTCTCTTGGCTACCAGCAAAAAACCCAAATGCCCTGCATGACACATATTCTACCAGCAAAAAACCCAAACTCAATGACACACTCTCTCAAATGGCTGACACACCAGCAAAAAACCCAAATGCCCTGCATATATTCTAAACTCAAGGACACACCTCTCTTGGCTACCAGCAAAAAAACCCAAATGCCCTGCATATATTCTAAACTCAATGACACACCTCTCTTGGCTACCAGCAAAAAACCCAAATGCCCTGCATATATTCTAAACTCAATGACACACCTCTCTTGGCTACCAGCAAAAAACACAAATGTCCTGCATACATTCTAATTCCACTGACATCATCCTATGTATTACACGCAATATAAAACTGCATGCTTTGCTATCCGTCTATATCACTATGACTTTTACCTTGTATAGTATCCATATCAAATAGACCCACCACTTCTCAGTATCTGTTTACTATACCAACGTAGTTACATTTATGTTTTCTTCACATACTATACCCAATGACCTAGCCTTAATATTTTCCTTTGACTTCATGACTAACGCTCTACAACTACAAAACCGTTTTGCTCTAGATTTAACGTGAACCTTTCATTACTACATATGACCTACTTCAATCTTCAAAGACAATATTAGCCACACCAATGGAAAAGGTACGTGTTTGATGGCTGAACCTTTTCATGAATCAGTGAGCATGAACAAAACGCTTTTACTAAGAACTACAATTTTATTCTTGATTAAAAGACACCGACCTCACACTATGTGGTGTAATCCAGGTCATACAGATATTATTTAAACATCAAATACATAGAAGTGCAGTCATATCGCAATATCAACATACAAAGATAAAATCGGAACAAAGACCAAATGAGCAGGAAACCGAAGATATATAAAAACCGAAATGTAAATAAAACCAATGATAAACCAAATTAATTTTGTCAGTTGATATTTCTTAACATGTCTAAACGATCATGACGTCTGCATTTAACCTCATGATATGACAGAAGTAGATAACCATGTAAAACATTGTACAAGCATTCTACAGAATAATACATCTGTTTTATACTATTCACTAAAGATTGATAGAGAGTTGACAACTTGTCATACTGTAGGGAAATGTCAGAAGTATTGGTAGCGAGATGATCAGTTGTCATACTGTAGGTAAATGTCATAGTTATTGGTAGTGAGGTGATCAGTTGTCATACTGTAGGTAAATGTCATAGTTATTGGTAGTGAGATGATCAGTTGTCATACTGTAGGTAAATATATATATTGGTAGTGAGATGATCAGTTGTCATACTGTAGGTAAATGTCATAGTTATTGGTAGTGAGATGATCAGTTGTCATACTGTAGGGAAATGTCAGAAGTATTGGTAGTGAGGTGACAACTTGTCATACTGTAGGTAAATGTCAGAGGTATTTTTAGTGAGGTGACACTTGCCATACTGTGGGTAAATGTCATATATATTGGTAGTGAGGTGACAACTTGTCATACTGTAGGTAAATGCCATATATATTGGAAGAGAGTTGACAACTTATGGCAAGTTGTCACCTCACTACCAATATCTGACATTTACCTACAGTATGGCAACTGGTCACCTCACACAAACAAGTAACAAAGTATATATGTTCGAGAGGTCCTAGCTCACCCAACCAGTTTAAGTAGGTTCTGAAAATATTTGTAGTTTACTTAATTGATTAACATGGTGTATGTAGGTATTTCAGTATGTATACCTGTGAGCTGGATTATTTGTCTACCGAAGGTCCAACTCTAGGTGATAAATATTTGGATTGAATGCCATGTTAGTAACTTATAATGTCTTCCTTCAATACTTCTTTATGTTGGCTACAAACACAGTACCGTAAGGATAGGATTAGAATATTGAGCGAAAAGCAATTACTCGCACTGACCCTCGTTCAACCGAGTCAGCACTGTATTGCTATTTACCCCCATTTTCTTGAAAATGTATTGAAACATGCTGATGTATGTATTCCTTAATATGATCTTGCTCCTTTGTATAAAAATAGTAGCTTCACCAGGTTACACGACGTGACAAAATCTATCTTAACTTGAGATAAACAGAAGGTTATGCTGTTGTCTGTAAAGCATGTGGCAAAGCAAATAGTATCACCCGTACTTAATCTCCCTGAAGTACCAAAACAATAACGGCAAAAGTTGGTGATATGAAACGAACAGGAGTGTCAAACGGCGTTCACACCTGTAACTGGAGATTATCACCTTGCTGTCCAAATAGACTCGGTTGAACGAGGGTCAGTGCGAGTAATTGCTTTTCGCTCAATATTCTAATCCTATCCTTACGGTACTGTGTTTGTAGCCAACATAAAGAAGTATTGAAGGAAGACATTATAAGTTACTAACATGGCATTCAATCCAAATATTTATCACCTAGAGTTGGACCTTCGGTAGACAAATAATCCAGCTCACAGGTATACATACTGAAATACCTACATACACCATGTTAATCAATTAAGTAAACTACAAATATTTTCAGAACCTACTTAAACTGGTTGGGTGAGCTAGGACCTCTCGAACATATATACTTTGTTACTTGTTTGTGTTTATATGAGGAACAGATAGAAATATACACTTGATTGGTGTCCTATGATGTCTATATCATAAATAACTAGAAATGCACGTATTCTTTATTTGTTACTCT